AATAATCAAATGCAAATATGTTCTTAAGATTCAATTTTTGTGCAATCAACACACTTAAACGCATCATCACCAAATGCCATCAAGAGCAAACGGCAAGCTGGCGGGTAAAGAGAGAGAGAGACAGAGAGTGAGAGAGAGAGGGAGAGAGAGTGGGTGGTTGTGGGGGACTTGCGTTGAGTGTAGCTGCTGACAGAAAATAAAGCTTCAGAGTGTGTGTATTTCTGCCTGTCTGCCAGCTGTGTGTGCGTGATTGTGTGCTCCTTCCTGGATGCTCTTCATCTTTACGCGTTGTTTGGCAACAACTCAACGTGCCATCAAGGAGACACTGTCCTTCACACTTGTCGCCAGCGCCCCACTTTGCTGTATGCAATCAAACTTAAAATCCTGCCTGAACGGAGCATGCTAACCATGCAGCTAATAGTTGCCATGACTTTTGCTTGAAGCTAATAACAGCTTAAGAGTCAAAGATGTTGGTTGAATAGGTTGCGATTAATCCTGCGAGCGAGGCAAGCAGCTCAGAGCCTGATTGGAGCGAGAGCAGCAAACAGAGCTTAGATTCGATACAAGCATATTTGCAACTATCCAAGCTGTTCGCTTAGTTGTTTAAATTGCACTTTCAGCTGGTGTCATTTAGTTGACTGCTTAGCAAAATTAGCACTCGGAATGTTCCCAAGTGAATTGAATAGCTGATTTATGAACGCACTTAATGTGTAAATATGTAACCAGGGCGCCCAGTGGAGCCTGTCCGTTCGTCTAGCCAAGCAGCTTGTTTGTTTATGCAGCGCACATAGGACAACAGAGATAAGAAGAGGTGGCCAAGTGTTGGCGAGGGGGATGGGCGGCGGGGAGGGAGGGGAAGGTGTGCGGAAGAGAAAAGCGGCTGCTTTCCCAACTGGATTGACCAACATTTGCTTAAGCAGGCGTGTGAAAATTGACCATTAGCAATGCAATATATTCTCAATCTCAGTATGATATAACTTGTTGGCGGCGCATGTGTAAGTGTGCGTGTGCGCGTGTGTGTGTGTGTGAGTCTGATAATTGGTGTAAATGCCGCAAAGCGTTGGCCAAGCCAAAGCGGCAGAAATAGGCTCATGCATTCGCACTCGCTCGCACACACACGCACTCGCACACGCACACTTGCTTTTAATATGCAGCTGCATAACTTATGGCAAAGGGAGCCATTAATTTGAGTCTGTAGACATTCAGGCGTGCAACTAGGTGTTCCTTTGTGTCTCTGTGTGTGTGTGTGTGTGTAAGGCTGGTTTGCAAGAAACGTTGCATAGCCACAAGCGCACGTGCGTGACCAATAAATGCGGCCAGCTCCTCTGCTCACACCTGGCTTGTTGCACAGCCTACACACTCACTCACACACACTCACTCACACACACTCACTCACACACACACATAACCAAGCGGTACATATTTTATTTTAATTTGCTTGACAATAACCAAAACGAAAGCAAAAGTTGTTATTTTTTGTATTTTTACTTTTTCGACTCGCAGTCGCTTTGTCGCATCTTCATCGTCATTACGACTGCTTCATTTGCCTTATTGAATCGGGCACACGTTTCACCATAGTTGAGGCGCTGAGGAAATCACAATGGCAGCGCAAAACAATATGCAAACAATTTTTACCATTACATGACTGAAATACACAAAATGCCAAAAGGAGACACTGCCAAACAGACGTATTTATGGTCACGTGCGTGCTATGCATGTGTGTGAGTGTGTGTGTAATATATAGTCATATATATATTTGTATATGGTTCACAACTGACCAGACACGAAATCGTTTGGGCGTACGAGAATTGCTCGCAAAATGACAAGGGCCAAAGACTTTCACAGGCTGCCCCTCGCCTGCCGCCGACCCGACTTTAATTTATCCATTTACATATATTGATATCATATATATAATTCTTTTTCTCTGCCACGCCCCAATTCATTCATATTTTTTCTAGCCTAGAAATTGTTATTTAATGAAATTGTTATGGCGCCAAATTTGAATTGTGGTTAAGAGCACAGCAGAAAAAATTTCGAAAGGCCTGGAGCCCATGGCACAAAGTTTGCTTTGCATGTTAATTAGCTAGTTATTTGAAAGTTTGCGCATTTTTGCATTTTATTTTGCGACAATTTAGCAAAACTTACCAATTTTTTATTGGCCATGTCTTAACTTAATCGACACTTCACTCTTTTTAACGCACAAAAACTTGTCTGTCATGACGGGCAACGGTGGCTTTTTTGAGTACAGCAAGGAGGTGAAAATATTTAAAAGATATTGAAGGCCTGAGCCAACAGTATGCACGATTCGCTGCCAACGTCAACGCCTACGTGCTAAACTCAGCCCCCTCCTTCCCCCCATACACACACCACATTTCCCGCGGGATCACCGCAGAGTATTACTTCGTGGGGATGGGTTGCCTTTCTTGGACAGTCTCCATTCTACGCCGCTCCATTTAGGTTCTTCCCATTTATATCTCTCTCTCTCTCTCTCTCTGAGACCCCTCCAGTTTTCCTGTCCTTCCAACATATACGTCACCAGGTTCTCAGGTAAAGGCTATCCGTGTCCGAGTTCTTGGCTCCGGATTGGGAATTACATTGAGTGTCCATATCATATTGATCCATCTCTCCTCTTGCCGTTCTCTGCTCTCTCCGATCTTCTTATGATGTAGTATATCCCATCGCTATTCGGCCAACGTATACTTTACTGTAATTGCTCAGAAACGGAATCGATCTGGCCATTGACAGGTGAATGGCAGTCAGAGTCTTTTCACCTACTAGAGCAATCACATTCCCGTGTCATTTTAGTCGCCTTCTACGACAAGCAATGACGAGCTGTGGTAGTATTCTATATGCCGCTTACCACACGGCTGACGGTTGTATATGTGTGTGTACGAACTTGCGTGTGCATGTGCATGTGATGATTGATTGTCTCCAGGGTAGGGGCAAGGGCAAGGCAACGGCCAATCTCGAGTTGACAAGGCAATTATATTATATTATAATTTGGACATTTTCTGAACGCTGGTTTAAAGTACCACCGCGTAAAGGAAACATCCTTTGGGCAAGGTACTTTTTATGCCTATTTGCTGAGTATAACAGTCAAAGAGGAGCATAAGCATGTCCTGTGGAGCATATCCGATGGATGGTAAGAAACTCTGATATAAATTCTTTCGTTATTCTTGTAACAGTGTGGAGTAGATTCAACGAACTGTACGCGTGTACTTAGCGTTAAGTTTGGAGTCATTTCGTTTACTTTAGAACACTGTTATAACTAACGTTAAGTGTGGAGTGGGAACAGAATAATAGGGTGTCGAGTGACTTCGCTAAAACTTTGTCACAACTTTCGTTAATTTAAAAGCTGCCAAGACTTACACCAAATGATAGGCTGCCAGATTATTCAATTTAAATGTCCCTAAGATGAGAACCTTCTTATACTTTTAACCACAACATGTGGAGCAACATGGACTTGTTTTGCGGCTGTCTGTTAAAGTTAGCAGCTCTGTTAAAAACACCATTGGAATATTTAGCATATATGTATATATATATTTAATTATTTCTTTAATACAATTTTAAGAAATGTACCTTCATCATTGTCCATGCATTCATTCCAGAGTCAAATAACCTTTTTTGCAAACATTTTTTAGCTGAGGGCATTAGTTGATTGGGCAAAGAAGCTGAAGCTGTTGCTCCTGTAACGACCACACTTGTTACCTGATCCTCTCAAGAACTTTGACTTCTGCTTGCCCTCCCTGGGATACCTCTGACTCGCTTGCAGCTTTGTTAGCTCCTCCATTATATCCGTCAACATTCGCTGAGCAACCTTCGCCTTGCGTATGAGTTTCTCCACGCCCGATTTGCCCATATCCTCCACATCCACCAGCGCTGGGCGTGGCTGCAAGCCCCTGCAGCCCCTACAAGCCTTGGGCGGCCCCCTCGATTCCGCCGGCTCACTTGGCGTGTTATCAGCATGCGACATTTTAGCACTGGCTTTTACACGTTTACACACGCCACTGATAAGAATTGAACTTACGCTGTCGCTGCGGCTGCTCGGGCTGCTGCTGCTGCTGCTCCACTTGATACACAACTCATACTGATGGCGTGGGCGTCGCAGCGCCGAGGCTTAAATAGCCAGCGAGTAAACGTTTGCACAGTGTCGTCCCAGTCCCCCGTTGCCACTCCCCACATTTCATTTTGTGTTTGCTCGGCAAACATTGCCAGCGCAGAGCAGCCGCGGGCGTGGACTATGTGCGTTTAAGAAATAAACGTTTTAACTTAAGACTGCAAAGAACATAAATTCAAAATGTTCTAAGCAAGATTTTCTCAAAATTATGATTTTTTATGATTTTTATTGGTTTCGTTTTCGTTTGGTTTTTGTTTTGTTTTGCTTTGCTTTTTTACGTTAATAGTTTTTAATTTGTAGTTTTTGTGCTAATTATATTGTTAAACATAAAAATGTTGTTTGTTTACTTTACCCATACATACATAAGTATATTGTTTTGTTGTTTTGCCTTTTGATTGTATTTTTTTGGTTTTGAGTAAAATGCCATCTTTTGATTTGTAGACTTTCTTTCTATGTGATTTTCATTTTGCAACTTTGTGTTAAATTCGTAAAATTCGATGTTAAATTTAATAAACCATTTATTACACATTATATAAATAAATGCATATAAAAAACGGATTAAAAATGCTGCAACGTGTTTGTTTGAATATACGTAAATAATATTTGTTTAAAAAGTGCTGCATATAAATTTCATAAAATGTCTAGTTTTTGTTTATATATCTTTCTGTTTTTTTCTTATGAAACTGACGCTGCAGCAAATGAAACTCGAATATGCAGACTCTTTGGCTGCCCAAGGTTCTTATAAATGCGCTCGGCTCTTGACTTGTCCGACTACCTAGACGCTTGCCTCTGCGGTTGTTGTGTACTTATTTATATTTATTTGTTTAATTCTTATTTTCTTTCTCTTGTATTATCTGTCTCGCTAATAAATCCATTTGAGGGCCTTATTTATTGTATATTTTGTTAATACGTTTTTTTTTTGTTGACTTTGCTCTTAAACAAATTTTGGCACATGGTTTCCTAAACGGTTCTCAAAGTCCCTTTCCTGCTTGCGGGCCTCGACTTCAATCTATTGATCTGTTAAATTGCTAAATTTCTTATAAGTTTTGTTGGCTAGTTTAAAATACAGCTAATTAATATGTGGATTATTCATATAAACTAATGTTAATTTGTAGTTTGCTTGTCTGCTCCTAACTTGCCTTATTATGTTCGAGTGTATGTATGTTTGTTTCAAGTGTCAAACTTTGATTACGACTTGCTATTTGATTTCTATACTTTGGTGTTAAAAACATTTATCTACACGTTGACGAACGACAGTTTATTGTAATGGAAACACTAAATGTGTAGATACTGCGATATCGTGTCATATCATATATGAATACTGATTCAGCTGGCGTTTCGTACTCGTGTATACATCGAATATATCAAATACATTTAGTTAACATTCTTCATTGTATATCTCTTCTATATATGAAGTATTTTTTTTTCCTTTTTGTTTTTTTCAGTCAATTTTCACGTGTTGCTATTTACAAATTTTAATTTTAATAGTAGCGCTAACAACTATAGATTAATCCTTGTCTGTATGTGTTTGTATGCACGTGTGTGTGTGTATGTGTGTGTGTGTACGTATATGTACATGAGACAATAATAAATACGTTTAGTTTAGACATAAATATAGATTTGTACACAGCATATGTCTTGAGTTAATTATTTGTTTAAATTTCATATTTAAATTCCTCGTTTTACAAATATGGAGAATGCAGTTTTTGAAACGGAATCAATTCGACGAGAACTTACAAAAATATTTTTGAATACTTAACATTAGCTATAACTCAAGGTATCAGTACTACACATAGAAAAAGTTTTGACCAAATCGCAAAATACTTACAACCTCTCTACATACAAAAACAGTTCGATTATAGTAAGTAGTTCGAGTAATACGCGTTACAATACGATGCGTAGTTAGTATTCAATAGAATTCGAGTTAGTAGTTCGAGTTACATAAGTCAGTTAAGTACTTAACACTAGGTTAGTAGGTTTAACGTATAAGTATAAGCATATAAATATATGAATGTATATACAACATATTGGAAGTTCGATAACTGACCTGGGTTGTGGGTGCATGCCGTACAACATGCACAAATCGTAATTACCTAATTAATATTATATATATATATATATATATATATAGATGTATATAAGTATATACGGTTATATGAGCGTTATATAGATACTGGGGGAATGGAGAGTAACGAATGGGAAGTGTTTTGAGTTACCTTATTTGTGTGTTCTTCTTTTTTCTTTTTTTTCTTTTGATGGTTGTGCAAATAATTTAGATATTGATTGTCCGAAAGTTTTTCATTTAGTGTCTTTTGATTAGTTGGGGTAAGGTTGTCAAGCTGGTTACGGGTCAAGGCGAGGGCGGTGCGGACTTGAGGTGGAACGGATATAACGGGAGTAATTCTGTGTTCAGGGCACATTACAAAAATGTAGGTACTAAAACGGCTCAGCTGTTGTTATACCAAAAATTCTCTCGGGAGTCTTGAACTCGCGAGTGTTGCCCAATCTTATGTCAATTGAATGCAATCTGGCGGTCTATTGGCCTGATCTCATCCTAGCTGCTGATCATGCTTTGATCAGATCTTACCAATGTCTCACACAGATATCGAATAATCCGATTTTTCGCTAAGCAATTTTTGGCCTGGAGCGGGTGAATGTTGCTGTGGGCGTTGTTGTTGTAGGGGCTGCTGTTGTTGCGGCTGCGGCGACTTTGAATGTGCTCGTTTGTGTGGTGGTTGCTGCTGTTGCTGGCGTTGCTGTTGTTGCTGCTGTTGTTGTTGTTGTTGCTGCTGCTGCTGCTGCTGTTGATGCTCCTGCTGCAACTGGGATGTGGTGGAAGCTGGGCGCGACCACAGCGAGGAGCGCTGGCCCAGTTTTAGCTTCTTGATTGTATCCACATCACATTCAACCTCGGCCAGCTCGATGTGCTCGCCAGCATCGCGTTCGCCATGGTGGAAGGCACCAGCGCTGCACTCAGCCTGCAGCTGCAGCGGATGCAGCGTGCGCAGGATGCCAGCTCTGCATGGTTTGTAAGGGGAAGAAGAGTATCCAGAGTTGTTTGATACTATTTTTGTTTGGCTAGCAACCACGCTCAAGCATTCAGAGTTAGATAGAGAGAGACTTAGTTGTGTTCAAGTAGTTGTGTTGGTGGTTGGTTGTTGGTGGTGTGATGTGCTGGCTGCTGATTAATGGGCGCCCTCAGGTCCGCACACCTCACCGTATGCCAAGTCTCATGTGTGATCTATGGGATCCATATAGGTGCACGATATTTCGCCGCCATTATAGCCAAAGCTGCTGCTATCAGCCCCCCCGCCACCGCCAGTGTACTCACTCCCCCCATTGGCCGTATCCTATTTGGGCAACGGCAGCGTTGGTGCCGTAAAGAACTTCGAGGACAGCAGAGCCGTCGAGGGATTCAGCAAGGCGGTGCCAGAGACACCGCCCTGATGCAGTTGCTGATGGTGGTTTTGGTGTGACTCATGCGCGGGCATTATGGACTTGTGTGGTATGGGTCGAAACTGTGAGGAGGGTGGCATGCAAGTTACGGGCACAACAGATGCTAGGGTACTAACGCCTCCGTCCAAGCCCAACAGCTCCTGGCCATTAGCATGCGTTGGCGTTGGCTCAAGCTGATGGAGCTTGGGCTGGATCAACAGTGGTTGCTGTTGCTTCAAACTACTGCTACTACTGCACTGGGTCTGACTGTGATTGGGGTTTTGGTTTTGGTTTTGGTTCTGACTGGGTTTACTATTCGACTGTTGTTTGTGGAACTGTTTCTGATGTTGTGTGCTTATCGATGGCGATTTGACCAACGTGGGTATGTGGCATTGTATGGAGTCTTGTGATTTGAATGTGCTCGATATTGATTTCAAATTGCCGCCGCCATTGCGCGGCGATAGAATTTTGTTCGAATTGTTTGCCGATGTGGCTGTATTTGTGTTTGTGGCATTGTTTGTAATGTTATTGTTGATTTTGTTGCTATTGTGATGACGCGGTGTTGTATTGGTGGAAAACTGATATTGCTGATGATGATACCTGGAGCGACCGCGTCGTGGTAATGATTTTTGTTCGGACATTGGTGACAGATCGGAGGATGTGCTTGATTGTGCTCCATGGTAGATGATGCCTGCATCGCATAGAGCATTTCGAGTTTGGAAAGAAAGAAAGAAAGAAAATACGGGCAAATAGAGATTTGGTATGTGGATGGGGAACACACAAACTTAATACTAATTTAAAGCTAACTAACGCACTTAGCAATACTATTCTTTAGTTTCTTAGTCTTCAGTTAACTGGTCTTCTTTCTGGTCAAATTTATGTGTATATAAAAGTTAAGTGCATTGTGTGGCAAAAGTTGTGCATTTCTCGTTCATCTACTACAGATAAGTTATCGATATGTTGTGATTTGGAAAATGTTGTATTAGTCTAGAGTCTGGGTCTGCAAAATAAAATAACGCAAAAAAGAGAGAGAGAGCCAGTAGATTACTCCATTTGATAGCCCAAGACCACTAAGAGCTAAAAGCCATTGCAGGAAAATATATTAATAGGCATCTGGAAGCGTCACGATAAAAAGGTTAATTTTTGTTTGCCACTTGTATGGTATTTACACGAACTTATGACCATTTGAAAAAGCAAATACGATTTTTTTCGTTAAAAATCTATTCTTTAATCTATTGTTCCTATGGTAGCTATATGATCCGGTGCAACAGAAAGACGGATGCAAAACTTCGTGTCGATAGCTTTAAGACTGAGTGAGTTATTTGCATCGCAACAGACAGAGATACTAATCAAGAATATATATATTTTATGGAGTCTGCATATATATGTTGCACATTTTATGACAAAATTCAAAAAGCCTCTACAAGAGTATAGCAGTAGGCAGAGGAATGATGCAATACTGATCGAGAATAAACTTATGTTGCAGAGTCCTTCAATGGAACTGCTTCGAACCGTTGCTTACTGAATTTAAATGGGTAACAGGTGCTAAAATATATTAATTAATTTGACCTTCTTAAGCGCTATCTTCCAGATGCTGAAACAGAGAGCAATAGATTACGACTTACTGTGCTTGATCTTGCCCTCATGCTGATTGGAAGACTCGGTGCGACTGGAAGTCAGTTGATCCTGATCGGATTCGGATTCCTCACTCTCGGGTTCCGTTTTGCGTGAGTGACGACGTCGATTCTTGGACTGCGCATAGAACAAAGCGTGACATTAGATGGGATGGTACTTGTGCGCCAAGTGCGACTAGCGACTATAAAAGCGCCTGGGGATGGTAAACGCTTTCAAATAAAACAAAGAATTAACCCAAAGTTGACAAGTGACACGAGGCAGAGCGCTTCGCTCAATGCCCACGATATGCATGATATACGGCATTGCAGTTAAGAGAACTTAGATAAAAGTAAGAATCGAGCAAAGAAACAACATAAAAAGCACGTAGTAGTCTATTGAAAAGTACACACTAATTGTAGGTCTAATGCCCCCCACCAAGAGGGGGACACAGAGAAAGAGAGAGAGAGAGAGCTAAAATCAAAGAAATGAATAAACAAACGCACGATATTATGAAACGGTGAGGTCTGATAATAATTATGAATTGTCTTTTGTGGACGTTGGTTGTGGTGGTGGTGGTGATGGGTGGTGGTTGGTTTTAATACCGCAGCTGGTGGTGGCGACGAGCAGCCCTCAGCCAGAGCCCTCTCATGGTACATGAACGAGTGCAGCAGAGTATTGGCTGGCCCGCCATGATGCGGCTGTGACATGTTGCCCGCCTCCGACAATTGGAAGGTGGCATACGGCGAAATGTCCTCAGAGGTTTCTGTGAAATAGCCCCAGGCTTAGACATTTCAACTGATCAACTGACTGAACAGTCGCTTACCCGGAATTTTGTCATTGTTCTGCATGGAAACCTTGTGTATGGTAGCATAATATCGTTCACGCTGTGCCGCCTCCGAGTTGGCGCGATTCTCGAGCGATTCCTTTTGTATATGATTGCTTTGTTCTGGAGCAGGCAAGGAATGCAATTCATCAGCATTTAGATGCAAACTACACTAAGGACTACTTACTGTGCCGATAGCAAATGATCACCAAGGCTATGGTACATATCATGCCGGAGACAGCAGCAATGCTGGGAACAAGCAGATTCACATTGCCATAGAAGACACTCGGACCGCGTTGACCGCGCTGCACAATCTCTGGTGGTGGCGGGTCGCCATTCTTGGTAAGTGTCACAAAGCTAAACTCGGCCTGCGACACGCCCGCCACATTGTGCGCCTCCATGCGGAGCTGATAGAGCGTTGACGGTTGCAAATTGGAGATGACCACACGCCGTTGGGGCTTCAGAGCATTTGAAACTGAGTTAACCAAAGAAATATTATCAATATTATTTGATCGAGATATTAAAATGGGAATTCCAGCTCACCTAAAATCCATTCTTTGTCCGGATCATCTGTCACCGCACGATACTGGAGCACAAAGTACATTAGGGGGCAGCCATTGTCCGGCCAGGTGTGCAGCCGTATTAGTACGGATGTGGAGTTGGGAGCCAGCAAACTTGTCGTCGCTGGCATGCCGGGGGCCTGGCCTTGAGTGCGCACGTGCAGCATTATGCTTGCCGGCGAGCTGCCGACCTTGTTGTGGGCAGTCAGATGTATCTGATAGGTGCTGCCGCAAACCAGACCTTTCAGCTCATGGCTGGAGGCGTGGCGTGAGAGCTGCATCTCATCCGTGTTGCCTGTGGCACGCCGATAGAACAAAGTGTAGCCAGTGATCGGAGCATTGCCGGTGAAGCCGCACTTCCAGTGCATTAGAATGCTGCTCGAGGTGGCACTGGTTACATAGAGGACAGGTGCTGAAGGTGGCACCTGTACGAGCAGCATGTGCGTAAGACGATCCGTGCCGATGCCATTGTCCACCTGGCAGCTGTAGTTGCCACTGTCGGCCAGCTGCAGGCTCGAGATGATCAAGTCGCCAGTATCCAGCAGCTGTGAGTTGTGCAGGCCACCTTGACGCAGTGCCACGTCTGATTTGAACCACTCACGCTTGGGCTTGCCCACAGCAGTGCAGGGCAGGGTCACTGTAGAGCGCCAGGGACGCACCACAGAACCTCCGAAAGATATAATTCTGGCCGGCACCCGATTCGTGGTAATCTGTGAGGCAACGCGTGAGCTCTTACCCTCACCCACGCGAGTCGATGCTGTCACCCAGAACTGATACTCCATGTGGGGGTGCAGATTCTTGGCCTCGTAGTAGGCCTGCTGTGAGGGCAGACTGCGCTTCTCATTATTGAGCTCCTCGCGGCCATTGACAACGCGGGTGTAGAGGCTATACTTGGTAATGACACCGTTCGGCTCGTTCGGAGGCAGCCATGACACATAAAGCGATTGCGGTGAACTGACAACCACTTTAATATCAGACGGCGCCTCAGGCACATCCTCCTCGGTGTGGCAAAATAGTGGCTTGGAGAGGGCGCCATCGCCCATGCGTGTGTGTGCCAATACCTGGATGCTGTAATTAGTATACTTGCGCAGTCCGGTGAGCACAGTTGTCAATGCAGTGGTCTTTCGCGACTCAACCTCATCCTTGTTGGGCACTATGTCATCAATGATGGGCTCAAAGATTAGTTTGTAGCCCTGCAGCAGACCATTCGTATGATAAATTGGCGGCGGCTGCCAAGAAACTTGCAGCGATTGGGACGTCAAGGCGGCACAGCGAACATCCTCTGGCGCACGGCTAGGCACTGCAGAAAAAAGATTGATAAATAACGGAGTTATTTATGAGAGATCAGAAACTTGTTGGCTTACCATCTTCCATGGTCTGCGCTGCAGTTGGCTCTGACAGCGGACCTGGGCCCACTTGATTGAAGGCCTGCACCACAATATTGTAACGCGCAAATTTGGAGAGTCCACTGAGCAGCAACTCCCCGTTGCCGCCTTCACCATCGCCCGAGACGGAGGTAAAGTTATAGGCAGTATTGCCCGAGCTGGCCAGCTTATAGCCCACATTATAGCCTTGTATATCGCCATGCCGCAGCTCCGGCAGTGGAGCCACCCAGCTAATCAGCAGCTCCGTGGAAGAGAGCGGACGTGCAGACAGATTCAAAGGCGGCCCAGCGGGACGTTGTGGCTCTGTGCGTACAATCAGTTCCTGACTTGGCGCACTGCGACCTGCATTGCCCTCAGCTATGACCCTAAAAGCATACCGCGTCGCTGGCTTCAGATTTTCAATCAATGCATTAAAGCTGGGCGGATCTTTGACTTCCGTATGCTGCCACTGGTCGATGAAGAGCACGGCTAAAAATAAATTGGGTAAATCGAGCAATCAAAGCGTCCCGTTGTCATTTAACTTACGATCCGCCTCGCGGTACTCCACTATGTACTTAGACACATCGCCCGAGCTGACCGCCTTGGGCTGCCATTTAAGGTTCACAGAGCGGCTGCTTATCATGGCCGCCTCCAAAACACTGGGTGGCTGTGGTGGCTCCTGCACTTGCAACTGCACCAGCTGCTGATCATTGCCATAGAGGTTGCTGGCACGGCAGAAATACGGCCCACTATCGGTGGCATCCACAGTGCGTATCTGCAGCTCTGCTGAAACGCCATCTGGAGTGGCCTCCTGCTTAACCGATATTCTGTTTGAGGGGACAGAGATTGACAAGTCATTTCGTTAGCTTTGGCTCACTGCACTCACTTGTAATTGGTTGATGGATTCAGTGTATTTTTGCCCGAACGCATCCACACAATGTTGATTGGCTTGTCGCCGCTGACAGCGCACTGCAGCAGCGCTGTGTCGCCCTTTTTGACCGTAACAGAGCGCGAGGTGGACGAGAAGTAGGGTGAGGCTGCAAAACATAACAAAAAATTGTATTAACAAATACGCGACGCATGGCCTCGTAATACTCACAATTAACTTTCAGCTGTATGACCTTTCCAATACCCGTGCCAATGCCATTGTTCGCCTGGCACAAATAGAATCCCTCGCGATCCTCCTTAACATGCTGCAGCAGCATCGAGCCATTCCCTAGCAACTTGGTGAAGGGACGCTCTCGAACTTCTTCATACTCGCCAGATTTGCTGCCTATGGAAGGAAGTAAGAGAAAATAATTTTATGATTTAATTTACACTTTTAACAATAAATCAAGCTATATTTTGAATATCTGACCTGTTGCCTTTTTCCATACAATGCTGGGCGTCGGCACGCCCTGTGCCTGACAATGCAACATGATGTGACGATTGCGTTCCACATTCGCATCGGCTGGCTCGACAATCCAACGTGGCGGCACTACAGGACGTATGAGTAATATTAAAAATGGTCAATTTGCGCAGAGCTAATAAAAAGGATTAAAATTAAAAACCTCTAGGATATACAGAAAGGATATCATTTAGAAAGAGTTAGAGATAGAGACAGACAGAGAGGAAAGTGAAGATATTTGGCAAAGTAAAAACGGCAAAATAAGGTTTTGTGACTATTTAAATTTGTTGAGAGTAAAAGAAAGATTTTTGTAGCGTATAGAAAACGTTTCAACTAATGTACAGTTGGGCTTTTCATATTTTGCTTATAAATGTAACAAAAAGTTTTTATGCAACTTAATCAAAATGGAATTAATTTGAAAATTCGATGCTTTTATAACGGATGTTTTATCTTTCATAAGATCCGTGAGTTAAACTCATTTATGAGGTTGGTTGTTGTGCAAGGATTTTTTTTAAATTAGTTTTTATTATTGTTGTTTTCTTTTTAATTTGATTTTCGCCCACGCTCTGCGGCTCGCTGTTTCGCTGTTTGTTGTACAACAAAATTACAAAAAAATTGCCTCTCGTTGGCGCGTAAATTATATAACAATGGCATGCCAAAAACGTTATGGAAAATATTTGCATTAAAATTATATTGCAACATAAAATACAGAAATTTATTATATGCACGATTATATGTGTTGAATTATAAAGCACGCAGATGGAAATAAAAAAATGTATATTGCACAAAACAAAAACCAAATAGGCCTTCAATAATTAGGTTTCAAAAGCATGTGCCACTTCCCAAGCAGAGAATCATCGCTGCGCAAAATTTCATTTCAATTATTTATAAGGCCAATAATTGCTTATTTGAATTGCATTTAATAGCCAGCCTTTTGCTTGTCAGGCCATAATTGAAAAATAAAACAAAAAAGGAAATTGAATGTTAATAATAAAGAAAATTAACAGCATTAATTAAAAAGCATTTTGTGGTTTTGTGTGGATTGGTTCTCTTGTGTTGCACATAAAGCGGGTTTTGGGTATACGGCAGCGCGTTGGTTAATAGCGACTAGTTGGAAAAAATCTTTGCACACAACAGCAGCCTGGGTGATTGGGCATTAAAAATAAATTAATCAATGTACACGACTGTTCCTGAATTAGTTTTCACCTCCTTTTCGCCATGCTCAACAAGAAAAAAGTTAACTTTCCGGGTAGATTATATTATATTTTTTATATATTGTTTATTTAAGCTTGGCGAAATCGGGGTGAAATCAATTTCAGAAACTAGCTGCGCTTAAGAACAGATCAGAGAGCAAGCAAATCATAAATAAACAAAATTAAAATACATTTTACTAGCACTATGCGCATGCAGTTGGCAAATGGCAGCTGGCATGAAAAAAGGAGGCAATTTATGTACACTAACATGCAAAAAACAAAAGCAAATAAATGGAACGTGCAAAATACTCTGCTGCTGCCACAACATGCCATTCCTATGGAACATTCATTCTCAACTACATTAGCAAATACTGCGAAGCTTTAAATTTATATATTGTTTGTAATTTGGTTTCATTGTACATTTTGGTTCTGCAAAAAATATGCTTTTGCATTTTGTTAGCAGCATAAAAAAGGTCCGCACACGCATACGCACGCACACAAGCATGGGTAGAGAAAATGCCCGTCACACACACACACACACACTCACACACATACACATATTCGCACAGAGCATAGCAGAGTGTAAGCAGTTAAACAGAGCCCAAAACCAATTTGAAGCATAAGCAGCGCATCTTCTGTGGATTTATAGCTGTTTCTGCATTTTTCAGTTAGTTTATATTTTTGTTAATTAAGCACAGCACATTTATAGCTAAGGCTTAGCCATTCAAGTTTTTTATAAGATATTAAGTTTTTTTTTGTGGGGAGCGGCAAACAGCAGCCGTTGTGCGCTAAGTTTTGAAGCTGCAAGTCAAAAAAATGGATGGAACAAAAATGGGAACAAAAATATTTATGCATTGTATTCTATAGACAACGATAGAGATGGGGAAAAAAAGAAGTAAGCGAAAAAGCAAATTAATCTTAAGCCAGCTTATGTTTTCTTATTTATGTTTGAGCAGTTCTTATAAATAAAAATTATCGCTAATTGTTAATTATGTGCGCTTTTCCAAGTATGTATATAATACGAGCTCTTGTGATTAAAAGGATAAACCTCTTTTCTCAAAGAAAATAAACATTAAATTCTTAAAGGGGCAACTTTCTTCTTTTGAAAAGCGCATTTCAACAACGACAGGCCGTTGGGTTTAAACTCTATTGTTATTTATAAAAAGCGGCAGAAATTATATAAGCAACTTATCAAAATATAATATTTTAGTTAATTTTCTTTTTATCATGTGTGTAAATACTTAAATTTATATGATAATTTTGCATTTTTATTTACGAAGCGAATAAGAAGCAGTGCAGTTGATGAGGTTACCTGGTGAAACTGTTGTCAAAAAAACCCACAGCGTGCCAAAGCGTCTTAAGGGTATAGGGATTCGTATAAATAATTTCATGGGTGTTTAAAGCAGGGCAATTCCTGACATTCGGTTTAGTAGGGGATTTTGTTTTTTATATTAATTTTGTTTTGTTTTTTTGGTAGAGTGAAAGCGTCAAAAACAAAGCACCATTTGCTAAAAGCAAGAGTTAGGCAACGTTCAGTTACGTTTTAGCTTGTAGGACACATTACAAGCATCAAAAAGTTTATTTCTTAGAAATAAAACGAATAAAATGAAAAACTCAAAACCATTAAGAAGCGCTTTTCTTGAATACATCAGCGAGAAAGCAAAAATTATTATTATTTAGGGGCAATCGTGAAAATTTGAGTTAGTTAAGTTCCTGTTAAGTGTGTTAAATGCGGCAAGTGTGTTGGTATTCTGTGTATAGTTTGGTGTTGTTTGTGTTATGGGTTGTAACCTAGTACGCTACCTTTGACCTGCAACAGAGCAGTATACTTGATCTCAGCTGCCGGATTCTTAGCCACGCACGTATATTCGCCGGAATGCGTGGCCGATAGCGAGGGAATGCTGAGCAGTGAGCTATATTGATCTAGCATGGTGACATTGGCACCCAGCAGCTCGGGCAGCGGCTCACCATCTTTAAGCCAGATTAGCTTCAATGGCGCATCACCGCGGGAGACACCACAAACAGTGCGCGTGCGCATACCCTCGGCCAGGCCATCCTGAAAGGCGAACGGTTCTATGATCGGCGGTACTGCAAGAAGGAAAGAGCAACCAGAAACGTTAAGAAATGTCACTGCAAACACCCAAAACCTTTGACTGAACTTCACGCTGTTGATCCCACGCTGAGCTGCTGTTTGCGGTTTCCTTATTGAATTAATCTAGATCTCACTTATTATATACACACATACATACATAAATATACATATATTTATATGTACAACTAAACCTTCGCAGTTTTGTTAAAGGATTGTTAAACTCTACGAAATAGTATTTTACTTAGTTGTACAAACATTCCAAAAGTTGAAGTGAAAGTGGTTTAAAAAGATATACGATATGTTCAATAACAATATTGAATAACTAAATGCCGTTTTGTTAACATAATTTACAGGTATATAAGGTTATTGCAGGACAAGTGAAATTTCGATTGTCGATGTTTTTTTGTGATGTTGTTGATTACATTAAACAAAGTGCATACGAAAAAACGCATTCTACTTTTAACTAAAGATCATTATTTAAATATATTGTATATGTTTGTGTAAGCGTGTATTCGCAAACTCATTTCTTTACCATTGACCAAAAGCGCCTGTGAGTTTTCCACCTCCGCCGCCGAGTTGCGCACCACACACGAATAGTTACCCGTGTGATCGCTCCCCAGATTGTCAATGACCAGAATGCTATTATACTGATCCACCTGCTTCACGGACATATGCTGAGTGGGATCGATGGGGCGGCCATCCTTGCGCCAATTCATGGTCAACGGCAAGTCGCCCTTGACCACGGAGCAGGTCAGCGAGGCGCGGTCGCCCATGTTTAGTTGCAGTATGGATGTTTGAAAGGGACTTAGACGCGGTGGCACTGAAAGTGGTTTTGTCAAGGCAAACATAAGTAAAAAGTGGCAGCAGCACCCTGTGCTGAGCCAGCAATCGGTGAAATTACAAAAAGTGCGACCCACTTCTCTGCATTGCAAGGGAAAAAGGGTTACAAATTATGAACATTTAATTAACGTCGCGCTTCATTAGCACGCAAATTCGTTAATTAAAACGAAAAAAAATCAAAAATAAAAAAACAACAACAACAACAAAGCAAAAAAGGGTCGCTGGCTTGGTCGCTGACTCGTTCTCCTCCACACTTTGGCTTGTTTGTTTAAATTTCAAACTTTTAAGCTTGGATTATTGCGCATATTTAATTAGGGTATAAGCAAAGGCAGGCTACACGCCAAATATAAAAGCAAAATCAAAACCTAAGCCATCACACTGTGTACTTAGTTTGCTGTAAATAATTAAAATTTAATTTTCACTTGGCGTCCTTTCTTTTTCGTTTTTGTTGTGTCCCTTGCCATCGTCGTAGCTGTGAAGGAAACAGGCCAAATGGCCGACAATTGGTAGTTCATAAATATATACTAACCTATGACCGTCACCTCGCCACTGCGACGGGCGCTGTGACCCTGTTTGTTGCGGGCCCAGCACGTGTAGACACCGGAGTCCGTGTGCTTCTGCACCGGACTGATGGTCAGCGAGCCATCCGGCTGCACACGCTGGCGTATATCATCGGGCAGCTCGCGTCCGCCGCGCTCCCAGTGTATCTCCTCGATGGGATAACCGGCCACCGGACATTTCAGATTCAATGTCTCACCCGAGACAGCGGTCACCTTCGGTATGAGGCGTATGTAGGGCAGACCTGGAGAGCAAACGGTTGACAAATTTAAGTGCTTAACAGATTTGTGCACACGTTGCTCATTTAATAATGCAGCTAAAATGTAAGGCAAACAGCAAATATAACAACAAACAAAAAGGTTGAAGCAGGAAGCGAAAAGGAAAGGCAGGAAGCAGCGTACAATGTAATATGCATATCCTGGCAGCCAGAGACAGACTCTATGCGATGCCGCCGAAACACTTTTCGTTGTGCCCCTCCAAAATGCGGAAGGAAACAATGCAGCAAATGCCGCCTGCCAGCAACAACAACTTACACAGCCGCCGTTGTCGTTGTTGTTGTAGTTGTTGTGCTGTGGCTGCTGGTTGTGCTTGCAGATTTCTGCGGAGTATGCATAATTTTCGAGCATGTCATACGAGTGCGCTTTGGTGTCGCTGTCTGTGTCTGGTGAGGGCGAGATTTTTGTAATCACCACCATTACCAAGTCGTGCAATCAGCGACAAAGCGAGGTTTCCAACAAGATGAACGTTGCTGTGAGATATTTGCATTGTTTAAGCTTTAACAGCGTTTCTGGCTTGTCTCATTTTCGAAAGCAGGCAGATTTCGATTGTGTTTGCATAGGATAATTGAATGTTCTTTAGTGAAATCTCAATATTTATGGGTAATACTGTTTTACTAATTGTGCAAATATTATGTTTATATAATATCTAACAAATTAAAAAATAATTATTAAATATATTGCCACTTCAAAGAATTTAAATATAATAAAAACCTCATTCCAGAGTTTGTTCAAAATTGATAATAGATAATAGGTTCTTAAATTCTCTGATTATTATCTGAGCGCTTAGCAATTTGATAAGCTTACTTTTACCCGTACCTTTCCTCTTCAGTATAAGTTCTATTAGAAAAAATTGTCGGAAATTAAATTTTCTTATTTAAGCACCGGCATATGGCCAAGTATAGAAACATATCGCAGATCTTCAAAATGCTTGCAAGGGTATCTAGTCTTCGACATACAGAATAAAAATATTCTTTCTTGTTTAACTTTAAGCGCAAACAAATATGCCGCACGTTTTTTTTTTGCCACGGCTTTTATTTTGCTTGTGTTTCCCTCTGCTTGGCAACGCCATTTTGTTTGCTCGGCGACACAAAAATATTTGATTTTTTGTAAAAACAAGGTAGACGAGGCCCTCAGCGAACACCGCACTTGAGTGTGTGTGTTTGTGTGCTTGTATAAGTGTATGTGCCTTGAACAACACTTTAGAGCTGCAAAGTAAACTGCAGTCAGAGACAAAGATAGACAAGGTAGGAGAAGGGCAACGAAGAGGTAGCAACATGGCGAAAGTGTTGTAAAGCAAAATCGAGCAAAAGTAGGCAACAGAAAATCGCCAAAAACAGAGACTTACAAAAAAAAACAAAAACAAAAGCTCACAGAACTGAAAAACATTTAAGTGCATGTGTAAAGTAGCTGTTTACACACACAGACAAACACATGCATATGGTGGGGTTGTGTGTGTTTTGTGAATGTAGCACATACCATAAATATTCAAGCGAGCCGCATGCTCCACACGACCCGCACGATTCTCAGCTATGCAGGAATATTCACCGCCATCCTCGACCATGACATGGCTTATGTTAACATGACTAATTACATCTCCATGCACGGTGATGTATTGTCCGATCATAAATCTGTGAAAAAGAAGACAGAAAAATTCCATAAAACACATGCATTAATACCAAAAGCATTTGCGTGGCCCGCGCGTAGAATGCGCAATGCGATATACATTTTAGATTTGTTTTTATTTTTTGCATATTTAAGCGCTCAGGCCAGGGGCATTAACGAGCAACTACATGCATGTTAGTGAGTGTACGAGAGCATGTACACGAACACATATTTGTACACACTCAACAAGGCGCATCTCATATGCAGGCTGACCCAAATCCTTTGGCTGTGGGCTTCATTTGTTTTCGACACAACACGGCGTATACGTAACATTGCATTATTTAGCTGTAATGAAGGCTGTCCACATGTCACATTGTCGTTCTGTCAAGCTGTCAAGCTTAGCATAGTTTCAACCCCGATTTCAATGTCATGTGCCACGCCCATAAGTAGGAGTAGGCACAGCGACAACAGCGAAAATGCCATCAGATACGAGCTCTACTTAATGCGGCTGTTACGCTGCTATTGCAAATAATGAAAAAAGGATTTTATGAGCGCTCAAGCTGGCATTAAATCTGTTTGTTTGCATGCCGTCTGCTCAGCGTCTTATTGGCAAAGACATTAATTACAGCAAACCGTGTTACGCATACGCCATGTGGCACACACACACACACACACATACAGAGCCACCACATGCACATACATGTGATACCCATCCTGAGAGCACACAAGCGGCTTTGTGGCGTCTCATTGTTAAACGGAGCGTCTCAGCAAGCGGCTCATTAGTTTGTGGGCGAGGCGCTAGCAACATTTCAATTGGCATTAGAGTTACAGCAGGAAAAGTAATTACAATTTTAATTAACTTTTGCAGCTGCCTTGGCAGGGCTTGTGCATTCACATCGGCCCTCTGCTCGTAAATGCACTTTCCTGGACGCTGATTTCCCCAGAAAGTGGCAAAGTCAACCAAAAAACTTGGCGGCTGGCGGTTGGCACTTTATGAAGTGGCCCACAAGTCGCGCGACGCTTGTTAAAACCAACAACTGTAGTTAAATGAAAATGAAGCTGCTCAAAACTCAGACGCGCAAGCACACACATTCATATTTACACATATACTTATATGCTCAGACATGGACATGGCTGCTAACTGCAACACTTGAGCGCATTGAAACAATGCCACGACAAAATTGCAACAAAGTTGCACATATCCGCACATGGCAGGACGCGAGCTACCCGGCATCATCCCACCATAGAGTGGCAGCTTAAGCGCCATTACAAAACTTTAAGCGAAAGCGTGTGTGTGCTTGTGTGTGTAAGGTGTAGGGGACTCTATAAGTCGGGCCAAGGGCCGAGACTGGCTGTGGCATAAAGCGCTTTGCTTGCAACAAAATAAACCTAATAGTTTGGCGCGGCTGTTGTATGCTGTTTTAGTTGATTGCTGTGTAAGTCTGAGTGTGTGTTTTTTCGTGTGTAGGTAAGTGGCTTGATTTGGACGCAAAAAAAATATTTGAAGCTGCAACTTAAAATTCAGTGCGAACAGAAAAAGTTTGTCTGCGAACTTACAAATTTATGAATTTCAATTCGTATAAACAGAGTTTCCACTTGGCGTAACGTGCTAAGAGTATAATGGATTACAGCTAATAAGACTTTGACTTTTTTATCTCTTTAAAAGATCACAAATAAATCCAATTAAATATTTAAAGCAATTAGATTCACGATAATGTCAAAAGAAAACAGTTGACATATGAAGACGGTTACAAAGTTTCATATTTTAATAATAATAAAATGAAGGTTTTATTTGACATATTTTTATACTCTGCATACAAAGTGTTAATGGTATATTGGCTTGCACGTAAAATCATTATCATTATCTGTTCTTTTTAAACCTACTTTCATTCCTGCAAATATATTCTTGAATAAAAGTAGGGTCTACAATTTGAAAGTCAGCCCATAATCAGGAAATCCTTTATCTGTTTTTGGCTAATAACACGCTGTGAACAGAATGGTTAACGCTATTAATATTGTACAACACCAACTACACTAACTTTGGTGACCCTTGCAAGTGGTGGGCAAATCCTTTGCTTATTAAATTAATTCGTACAACTTTCTATTTGGGCCGCACTTAACGCTGAATTATTCAAGCCAAAATTACACACACTTCTTCTAGAACGCCTGCAGCTTTAGACAAGCGCATCATGCGCACACATGCCACAAGCAGGCACCCTGAGCAAGCGGCACCGCCTTCGATGTTGCCACATGCCGCATGCCACATGCCGCAGACAAACTTTTCCAAATGGCGTAAAATGAGCGTTTGAGTGTTACGTTACCTCGTGCGCGCAATCATTTAATTTCCGCCCCAAGGCGTCTGCTTCAGCTCCGGCTCCTCGCTGAGCCCCGACATTGCCTGCCAGCCTGCCTGCCTGTCTGCTCTACTCCTGCCAATCTCTCTGTCTGTCAGTCTGTTTGCCAGGCTGTCTGTGTGGCTGTCTGCGTGTGTATTAAATAAATACAGTTACCAAGTTGATATACCTTTAAACCGAATACAGTAAACCACTTAAAACTCTGCAATTACAACAAGCGACGTTGGCAACGGAATGTATGCAGTATTGCCGAGCACTTGCAAATTAGGTTACCAGCCCCTACAACACTCCGCTTCACTGTAGGATAATGCCTAATGGCATTATTTGACAAAATTGTGTTGCTTAAATAACTTTTAAATTAAAGCCACGGGCAACAAGACCAAGTATCTGCAAGTTTTTGAACAAATTTCTGCACTGGCCACTCTAAAATACTTGTAATCAATTTGTGCCTTGTGGTCAACCAAACTCTTTACAAACAGCTGAACATATTCAAATGAGGGACAAGGAAAAAAGAGCTGAGCACTTTAATAAAACAAATTCATGACAAAGTCGTGATAAACTTTCAGTTGGGGCAGTCTAAAGCGTTTAACATATATAATTTTTTTCAATTTATTTTAGCTGCACTTTATGCATAGTAAGGCAAAGTGTGGCAAATGTTGCTGACATCTACAAAATATAGGTTATAAGTAGGGGTATGTGCATATAGTATAGAGCCTCAATATATATGCGCACTTTTGATAAAACTTTTTGCCAAATATTGATCAATTTCAAATGCCTAAAACAACTTGTTTTAATCAAATGATTTCACGTTTTTATCAAGACTTGAAATAAGATATTTTCCGAGACATGATTTCCACTATAAAACGACAATTTTTACATCTTGTAAGTATTTCTTTAATTGCAATTTGGATATGAGTCAGTTTATGGTAGGGCATGCATTTACTTTTGCAACTTTCCAGTTGCCCTCAGGTCAGCATATGCCATAAGTTTTAATTAAAACACAGCAGCTGCGACACTGGACAACAATAAAGTGCAGTTGGTAGCTAAAACGCTGCTATGATTTTTTATTGGGCTGCAAAAAGAGCAAGCCAAATGACAGCCAAAGTCAATGCTAATAAAAAGAAGTAGATTTTTTTTTAATCAACAACAGAAGTCAACAGTCGACGGTCAACGGACGAACTTTGACTTGCAAATCATTACAGACGTAACTCAAACAATTAGTGGCAGCTGCCAACAAACTGCAAATGAAGTGCAGACTGCAAGGAGTAGAAAAATCAGTAGTAAAACTCAAATGAAATGCCAACGACAATGTCAAAGCAGCATCATCAAAGCCAGACCCCTCACCAGCAGGATTGGGATTGCGTGGTTCGAGTGGGAGTGAGAGGTTAGAGGGAGTGAGAGGTTAGAGGTTGTAACAGAGGTTCCCAATCAATTGATGTGCTGTTGCATTTTATTTGTTTGTGCCAAACAGGCCAGCTACTTGCACAGCTTGACTATTAAATGCAAATGTCAATGTCATTAAAGAGCCACTGAGAATTTAATAAGCAGTCGCCAGTAGGCAGTTGGCAGTTGGCAGCACTGCATTTGGCTCTTGGCCAAACTAAAAATGTAATTAAATGCGTTAGGCAAACAACACACTTACCAAGCCTTAATTAACAAATAGAAAGGCAAAGTCAAAACCTTGGCCAGACACAAGAGTGGGCTACACCAAGTCTTTAGACTGTGCCTGTGGCTGCGCCCCTCCACAGAGTGAATGAACGCTGAAGCCGGCGCCGAGCCGCCCACTCAGTAGGCATGGCAGTCGGCAGTCGGCAGCCACTTTCTATACGTGCGATGTTTTAAAAGCCAAATGCTAAAAAAAAAATGTAAAGAGAAAAAATATACACAACGAGCGCAATAAATGCAGCTTCCGTCGCATTTTTATTTTTTTGCAAAGCCACCCGCAGAGTTGGCAATAGCCGAGCATACCCCGCAGCGGCCCCGCCGCCCAGTGCGCTTGCAGAGCCCGTTTTCAACAAGTTCAATTACCTTCCGTTTGATGGCAGCGGAAATCCGTCCAATGTCCATGAAATTTGCGGCGTTGGATTGCCGGCTGCAGAGCATTTCAAACTTACAGCTGGTCCCGGCTGCAGCGTTTGCTCAATGAAGCTATAGAGCAGCACGGGTGGAGCATCTGTAAGGCCAATGTGGTTGCGGATATTCATATAAATATTTTAGCTGCAATTACTTGGCGGCTCTTCCTTTTTTTTGGTCACTGCTACTTACCGCCCAGCTGGAGCTCAGCAGTGGCCTGAAATGTATCGCCCTCGGGCCGCCGCACCACACACTGGTACATGCCGCGATTCTCACGACTCACGCGGGGCACCACCAGCGTATCCTCGATGCGACCGGATGAAGGTAGCTGCCGTCCGTCCTTGTACCAGAGTATATTCTGCATGCCAACGGGGCTGCCATTGCTGGTCACCAGGCAGCGAAACTCGGCCGTGCCCCCCATATGCACACTGAGCACATTCGGCGAGATTTCCACTTGTATGGGCGTGGCCACCGTGAGCCGCAATTCGGCACTGGCCTCGCCACCCACATTGCTGGCTGTACATTTGTAAACGCCCGAATCTTCGCCTGTCACGGCCTCAATGGCCAGTATGGGCCCCAGCAGTCGCACCCGTGGACCGCTTAGAACGGGCAACGGGCCGGCACCATTTTGAGTATACCAGCTGCAAAGAGTATACAAAAGCGTACAGATACATATTTTTCATAAGTAGTTGCATTTTTACCGGTAACAACTAAACACTTAAAGAGTGTGCACTTTAAGATATTCTAAATTTTCTAATAGTATTTAATAGTCTATTTAAGCACGAACTTGATATACTTATTATAATACTTAAATATTTCATGCACAACATATTGGATACTGCCAACCATTTAAATTGTTTAAGTGCATTTTATTCACAACAAATACAAGTTCAGGTCCTTCGTATTTCATTTCTGAACAATGCCGGTTGTACACCCTTACCCCTTTCCCTATTCTGGTGTGCCTTATCTACTCTCGCTTTGTTTAATGTTGCATTAATCCCAATGGTTGGCTCATTTGCCAATGTCTCCGTCGCTGTCTACCCGCCTGTCTCCCTGCTTTATTAATTATGAAATGGCTACAGTTTTATTTTCTCTCTCGTTTTTTTTTTTTTGTGTTGTATTTGCTACTCAGCAATCTATCCATCTATCCGCCTGTGGTTTGGCTTCCCACATAGATTCTTTTGTTTCGCGTTTACAGTCTGGCATTGTATCTCGGAAATTTGCCACTGCTGCCGCTCTCGGCTCACCGCTGCCGAGCAGCAAAAGTTTTTTATTACTTGTCTGCTTATCAAAGCGTAATTATGTGTGCACATGTGTGCTACACCTACCGCCAGACAGCCTCCCTGGCAGTAGGCACAACTACATACATCTATATCTGTCCCATTGTCTTTAATTCCGCACACGCACACAAATTACGCAAGCTCACCGTTAGCTACCTCAGAGCGTCGAGTTCATAGTTTAACTTTAAGGTAGGCAACGCACTAACTTCATATTTTAATTAACGTTCTATAGTTGGCAACTCTCTCGACACATTTTACACAATCACTGGCCATGTTCCAACGCCGCCTCTATTTATGTGGTTGCCAGCGCTAAACGCTTACATATTTAATGCTTGCGTGTGTGTGTGTCTTTCTGTTGGTGTGAATGTATATACGTTCCAATTAACCCACACCACGGCATCACACAAAAGCAACGCTGTCAACGTCAAAAGTTTCGCCAGTAATGTGTCTAGCTGGCTGGCAGTGCCATCGATTTTATGCCCTGCACGGTACCTACCTGTATTCAGGCGAAGGGCAACCCTGTGCCACGCACAACAGCACCGCGCCCTCATCCTGCGATACCTGCACATGAGATGTGTGCTCCACAACGCTCGGCGATATGATGCCGCGATGCGCTGTATGAGTAGAGATTGACATTGGTTAGTCTTGGTGTTAGTTCTCTGTCGGTGTGTATCTGTGTGCATGTGTGCTTGTGTCTCTGTCTAAGAAGTCAGTTACTGTGCTTGGTTCACTCACAATTAATACGCAATCGTGTCGGCGAGCTGACAACAACCTGACGGGTTAGCCGATGCATGCTGCGACAACGGAAGGATTGAGACTCGTCGCTCTCTTGCAGATTGTGAATGAGCAGCTCGCCAGTGGGCAGCAAATGGAATTTACCATCTGAAAAAAGAAAAAGTAAATGCGTTTCATTAGGACAATATGCAACAGCCAAAATAAGGCTGAGCCTATTCTGTTTTTCTGTTGCCCCAAATGACGAAAATAGTTTTCTACATTTCTCGTATTTGCGTTACAAAATTGTGGTCACATATAGAAGCTCATCTCTCGAGAAAATTAACCAAGCGTGTACAAACTTATCTTTTGTAGAGGTCAACTATATCAATATTTTGTTTTTTCTACATTTTTCTACATTTCTTTATGAATAAATAGTACTAATAAGGGAATAAACCCTTAGAAAAGAAAAAAGCAATTTAATAAATACTTTAAAGAATCTTTGAAATAGGAAATTACAATTGAAAATTAAAAGCTTGTAAGATCTAGACTAGAATTAATATGCCTATCATAGAGTTAATGTATTTTTTGTATAAAAATGAAACCGTAAGATACAATTCACTTTGAAAATATGCATCCCTAAGCGCCTGCCAAAGTCTTAACTGCTTATCATTGCTCAAAGTTGCACCTTGGTTGGGGCAGGGTTAAGGAAAGTTAAAAGCTCTTCTCAAATTGCCAAAGGACAATGTTAATTATGCATCAAAGCACAGGGCATAACACACACGCATACTTAAATACACACTCACACACATGTGCACGCACACACACACACATGCATACTAATATATGGCCAAAGCAACGGCAGTTAAGCAGGCAAATATGTGAGGCAAATACTGAAAACAAACAATGCACTTTGTTGGCTTGGTAAGCCGCTACAGGGACAAGGATGCAGACGAGCGCCGAGGCTGCGACTTCAGCTGAAGCTCCTGCCGCTGCCACGTCAGCAGCAGACATGTAGACAGTGAGCCAGATAGACGTGGCAAGTATGCACACCCCATGCCCTTTTGCCACCATTACTTACCGCCTTGCAGCGAGGGGTAGATGTAGATAGCGGGTTCATGAACCCACGAGACCACTCGTACCAATTCCTTGACAAAGGTGGGCACCACACAACGCAAAATGGCAGTGCAGCCGCGCGAAGCGGATAATACCTCCACATCCACTTTGTAGGCCTGTGCCACGACTGCCGCAAAAAGAAAAAAATACAAGAAATGTAAAAATACAAAAATATACAAATATATATTGTGCATTTTGGCCGACTATTTGATTGGCCCCAAAAACTTACCCGCCCGCACTTGCACATCACGCGACACAATGCGGCCTACGGAATTGCTGGCAATGCAGCGATATATCGTATTATGTATATCCTGATGATAGGCAGCCGCGGCGAAGGGCATTAGCACGAGTGTGCCGTTACGGAGGACACGACGCACGCCATGAATATCCGTAACCGCCGTGCCATCCGCATGCACCCAATCGATCGTTGGCTGTGGACTGCCCGAGGCGGAGCAATCCAGCCAGCCGCCGGATGAATTGGAGAACTCAACGCGACCCGGAGGTTCCATGACAAAGCCGGGACCACGCAGATGTGTTTCAAAGGGTTCGCTAATCGTCGCATCTGGAAAGTCAATGAGAGAACGAATATATAAGCCGCACATATTTAATTGTTTTCAATCATTATAAATTATCATCATTTTATTTAATAAATAAAGCCATTCATCTGCTTACTCAAATGAAGCACACTTTAATAATGGTAATAAATCTCGAAAATGCATGCAATAAGGGAAATTAAACACAAATATCTTAAAGGGTAATTAAATTGTTTGCATGAGCAAATATGGAATGCCATTTAAATAGCCATGTTTGTATTTGGTTACTCAAAGCTACATTTGACTGCATTGAACTGAACTCCTTTAATGCGTACTTCAATTTTTGTATATTTCATCTGCCAAGCTTTCCATTTACGTCCATTTCAATGTGCTTTCTTACTTTCGTCCCGCTTTGCAAACAGATTTTGCCTTATCTTAAATTAGAATAACATTTTTGTCTATGGCTTGAGTGTACTTTTTTTTTAATATACATTCATATTCGTATATTTTTGTATATGTATATATGTTGGTATGTATATCTAAAATTGACATTTCGCTTCAAATTCCACATGAATACGCCTCGGCTGTCAGTGCCATCCAAGCGGCTCTCCCTGCGGCGCTGTGCAAATCCTTGCAACTCGTTCAAGCCTGGTACTAGGAGCCTCTTACTCTTACTCCCTGCCTTCTCCGCTTGCTTGGCTGTGCCGTACCGCCAAGTCATTGTGTCTGCAATTAGAGTTGTTTTTGTTCTTTTTGCTTTTGTATATTTTTGTTCTTGTTGCTCCTGCTGTTGTTGCTGTTGTTGTTGCCGTTGTTGTTGTTGTGCCTGGCCAGGCGCTTTTTGTTTTATGCTTGGCATCATGGATTTTTATGTAACTTCTTTCTGGATTCATTTTGCTGCTCGTCTCTGGCCTCCGGTCTCTGGCCGTGTTCGTTTCATTTCGCTTTCCCCGCTGATTTCATGGCTCCCGCTGTTTGGGCCGAGCGGGACGAGGCCTCTGTCAGGCCATAAAATTATTGCAAGTATGTCTTGAGTACGCTTGGCACTCGGTATATTTTTTTTCGGATAGAAAGGGTATGTTTTACGAGCATGTGCCGCAAAGCACACTCACATATGCGCGGGAGTGTGTGTGTGTGTGTATACATCCACTTGTAGGTTTTTTTATTCTTTCCTGCAAAAACAAAGAGTCTGCGCTGCGAGCGTTGCTGTGCGTGTGTTACGTTGTTCCTGTCATATATATGTTTTATCCCGGAGCCAGTATGTCTTCTTTTTGTTATATTTCTTCGACTTTCCCAACATTAACGTCTTCCTATTTGAGCACCTTATTCCTGCGGCTAATGCGACGAACTCAACTTTCACGCGATTACTTTCAGACAGTTGTGCTACATTTAGGGTTATGCGGATTTCATGCCTAAGCCATGAACCATTTTTAGACTTTTGGGCTTGTGTATGGCACATAAAGAATCAGCTTAGCTTAGCTCCAGGGAGCTATTCCATTTTATATTATGAGAGAAGGAATCTTTGCAGAATACTCTTCATTAAATTATTAAATTATTATTTCCGATATTGGCTACTAAATTGCAAGCACCTAGATCAAAAATGGGATTCATATGAACGGACTTTAAAGCTGTTGCCATTTAGCAACTTGTAAAACTGCCTGCCAGTTCGTTGCACTCCCACAGCTGCACCAGCACGGCTGTTAGCTTCTCCACCTCAATTCCACAGCGCTTTTCTTCGCATTTCCGCTCGTTTTTTTCATCGCAAATTTCCACTGGCTTTCATTTGGAATGTGTATTTCTCATCAACTTGGCGATACCGTTGCGACTTGAGGGGTTGTTTTGCGAGGCGTCTCAGACCATTTTATTTTTTTTTTGCGGATTGTGCCCTTTTGGCACTTTTTGAAATTATTTTTTTCCTTTGAGCGAGTGCGAATGAGTGAGTCGCAGGCTCGCAGCTCTGTATTTATGATGCAGCAGCCATAATATATATGACCGTAAAAGCCGGTTGAAATAGTGCTGCCTTCTGAGGTTTTCGCATGAACTAACAACAGGAAAACTAACACAATTTAAGTAGTTATCAATTCGCTTTAAAGCTGAACTGCAAATACTTAAAGTTACATTCGAGGCATCGGAAATACTCAGATCAGATGCTGCCACTTGGTTATGGCAACGCACCGGAAATAATGGGCCCTGCCTTTTACGCAATCAACCTAAAAGACAGGAAATTCAATTTTTTAACTCTAAAACAAGCAAACGAAACGTCAACACATACAAACTCGCGCCCACACAGTTGTAGCAATGTGTACTTTCGAGTCAATATTGTTGCCGCAAAAGGTTGAAAGAACTTAAAACGTTAACAGGCCAACGCGCATTGAGCAACAACAATAATAACAACGGCAACAGTAATAATAATTGTAAATAACTTTTTTATGTTGGAGCAACTCGAAAGCTAAAAACATGGCCCTAAGCCCATTTAAAGCCAGAGTGCACACAATCCAACCTCGGAGAAGCAAAGCCTAAAAAAGGCAACGAAATGTGAAAATGAAAATGTTTATTGCGCAAATTGTTTTTCGTGAAATAATAAGTAACAATAAAAGTACAAATTTTGCCAAATACAAATATTGACGAAGCTAATATGCTCTCACAAAAAGATATTTTTGATGCACAAAAAACAGAAACTGATCTATTACATTTATGAAATCATTAGCTTCTTTAAGCCAGCAAAAGGTACATAAATATATTTTATCATAATTAACCTTTCAGCAAAAATACTTATTGGAGAAGAAAATGTAGTACGTGAATTCTGGCATCATCAAGTTGTAATCTTATTTGAAATTTACTTTCACAGAAAGAGCACTTGCTAGCCTATATAAACCGAAAACAGTTTAGATCAGAAAATTTAAGAACCATTTTTCTTTTCAATTTCATAGCCAGCTGCGCTCTTACTGACCTCTGCCTCGAGAATCATTAATCCTGCCAATTTAAAGCTTTTGTCACAAAAGATTTAAAGTACAATCAATCTAAGTGTGCAACAGCCCATTTTGAGCCCAACACAAATAATTCATAATTTTTTTGTTCCCATGTTGAGGGTGAAGCACTTTTTGGGTTAAATTGGGTTGGATTGAGTTGGGCTTAATCGAATTTTTGTTGTTTTTGTTGCTGATTTCATGCAGCGCATTATATTTTATGTTTATTTTTATCCGCATGAAAATGAAATAACAACGTAAAAATGTGAACGCCCCTTAGACATTGAACAACAATTTCATTTGCATATTTTTCATTTGCTTCAACCTCAGCTAGAGTGTGAAATCCTACTATGTATATGTATTCATGGAATATAAAATATCTGTATGGCATTTTAGTAATTTTTTCCTGGAATAAATATGTGCGTCGGTTGTTATTGCCGTAGCCATCATAAAATGAAAACACCCAGCTAGGCAATGAAAATTGGAAAATATCAAATTTCCAAAAGCCTCTTGCCACACTTTATGGCAATGTGTGTGTGAACAGTTTGATGGGTCTGCTGTGGTTCGATCGAGTGCTCTGACTCTGTTTCTGACACATTTCATTAGTCCGCTATGCACACACAGCTAGCCACACACCAACATATTTTTTCATAAATTGAAGCCTGGATTTTTATCATAAGGCAATTTCTTATTATGTATACGCATTTTGCGCGTTTGCTGGTTTAGTTTTTGTTGCTATGGCCGTCATTTTATGGGCTTGCCTATATCATAACGTGGCCAAATCATTTGCACTTAGTGCGTAGTGCAAAATACTCGGCCATAAATTATGCTAACACCTCTCTGAAATCGTTTGTATTCATATATGCTATTAAGATTTATGTGCGTGCATGTCTTAAATCTCAGCCTAATGTTCCAAAAATTGTTTTACTTCTTGTAAAAGCTATGAAGCTTTAAGCGGACCTAAAATTATATATATTATAAACAAAGTATAGAATATATATGTGGTTTGATTAAACAAACAGTGTACCACACATAAACTTTATATATTTAGGTGAAACAAATAAATTGAGGCTCACAAAGTTAACCAAGAGTTTGCTTCCCTTTAATATGAAAGACCCGTTAAATCTTCAAAAATCCTTTGAGCTTAAGCGCCTTTTAGAATAATAAGTTTTCGAGAGCATAAAAAGGAAAACATGCCGTCAGCTGTTGATGGGCATACCAAAATACATTCTCACACACATTCAAGCACACACAAGAACGCCAAGCTAAAATCTAAGCATACTTTGCGGCGCGTGCCTAGCGGCTAAGTAAGGCTGGTAGCAAGGCTTAAGAGTTTGCTAAGAGTAAGAGAGAAAAGTGAGAGAGAGATGGAATTGCACCTACCGAACCTGAGCAGCAAACAAATCACAAAAAGGCGGCTACTAATCCACATGCTTTCCGGTTTCCTGTTTTGATTTTGATTTTACTTTTTGTTTGTTTGTTTTTCGTGTGTTTTGTTTTGATTTTTTTGGATTGGCGAAAAGTGCTTCTTGGTTCACGCAAAAATGTATTGAGCAATTTTGATTCGAATTGTGTTGCACTCTCAAGCGAATTTACATTATAGACACTTGCTTTTAATTGTTGTTATTTGGCACCATTTTTGAAGGGATTTCTGACACTATTAAATGCTGATCATTTGTTAATTTGTTTAAGTTAGCGACAGCCGGCACACTCCGAGCACAAAGGCGCGCGCTCACACAACCTCACTCAACACTTCTGTCCAGGCAACTGCACGCGTACAAGGATTCGAATTGACTGCGATGCCTTTTCCGCCAACGAGCCTGTCAAGCTCTACTCTGCGTTTCTCTGGTTCTGTACTCTCTTTAGTGTGCTCTTTGGTGGCGCCTATTCACCACACTTGTAAAGCGACCGCCACTTGAACTCGCACTCGAACCGCTCGCACTCAAAGCACAGCACAGCACTCACTTACAGTAGTCACTACACACTCAGTTGCCGCATTTTATCAACTGCCTGAGCCAGAGCCAGAGCCAGAGCCGTGCGTATCCTACGAGCCTCGAAAAGCAACTGACTTGAAGACCGCTCGGATTTTGCCACCGCTATGGTGTTTCCGCTTTGCAGTGCAGTTGGCAGCACTGCAAGCTCGGCGCATGCGCACCGCACAATGTTGTCTATGGTTAGGCACGAATACGAAGAGGTACAGAGCTCCAGTCTGAGCGGGGGGCCCAAACAGCTGTGCTCACTGGGTGTATGTTTACACTGGGTGGTCAACCAGGCCGCTGGAGACATTGGGCAAAGGCCGTCTTCCATGGGTGAGCGTTTGAAATGATTTTATTGTTGTACTGCCGTTCGATGCCACATATTTGCACATAATCCTTCGTGTTTACGAAAAATTCGAGAATTCGGAGATTAGCCAATTCTCAATATAAACACTGTTTGGGCTGAGACATAGAAAATAGAAATAATTAACATGAATTTCTTGAATGTTAAGAAGCAAAGCAATTTGCATGGTCGCCAAAAAGCGTGTTCTAGAATTTTAAATAAATCTGTGCTTAATTTGAGACCTGTGCGGACATATTTATGATCTCATAATTTATTTGCATAATTTACTTGACATTAGGCAAACAATTTCACACTTAAAGCACTGCGGTCTGCGCATAAATATTTCCTGCCTCAGTACGGGACGCGGCTAATGAGCATCAAGGGAAATTATGTGTAGTGTGTAGGAAAAACCATTGCAAATGGCTGCCAAATGTTGCTGGGTGCCAAAAAAAAAAAAGATAATTACTTAGCCTAAAAGCATGCGGCATATAATTTTGTTTTTGTATTCTTCACATTCTGCCGGCCAATTTGGGCGCGTGAATGCGTAAAAAGCATCAGAATAAGAGTTCGCATCACAATCAAAATGAGAAAAATCCAAAAAAAGCTAAAAACAAAAAAGGAAAGCCGCAACAACAGCATTGCCTGCCGTTGACACACATTGGGTACGCCAAGGACAAGCAACAAAACATCAGCCGCAACGGCAACAACAACAATAAAACATAAGCCAAAACGTGTTTGTTTGCCAAATTTATTGTCGGACCCGCTCACATTTCCCACAGCGACCAACATACAACAGCAGCCCGGCCAACAAATGAACGTGTATATACGTGTGTGAGAACGTGTGTGTGTCTGCTTGCTTGTATGTGTGCCTGTCAGTGAGTGCGTGTCGGTGTTGTTACTAATGACAACGAAGCCGCGTCGCGCATCAACGAACGACACCAGAAAGTCATTGACTCATTGAGTTTTCCCTGTGTGCGATAACAACCGCCAATGCCACGCCCCCACAACAGCTCACTTACCACTGCAACACTCGTTGGCTTCAGCTGCGTTAGCTTGTTTGTTTGCTAGGTGGTTGGTTGTCTGGTTGGTCGGATGGCTGCGTGTCTGCACGTAGCCAACATCAACAGCACCAGCACCAACAACAACAACAACAACAAGAACAACGACAACAACAGCATCAATAGGCACTGCGTCTGATGTAACGTTATGGCCATGATTATGTAGTGGCTGCTGCACTTACTCCATCATCATTAGACATTGTCAGGTGGCACTACATTGCCTTGGCACTTTGGGACATTCGCCCGTGCCAAAAAGAGGGAAACCCAACGACTGGCAAACTAAAACGAAATCTTGACTCGATGGCCAAATGGCCAGTGACAAAGTGAGTAAAAAAATAAGTTCGAACTCATTTTCATACAGCACATATGAGCATGTCTTATTGGAATAAATTATTCGCATTTAATCCTAATAACTTTTTGATTGATCGTGTGTTTTATGTTATTTGCTGAATATTTGTGAAATTGCTCTATGCTTCACAGTATTATAATTTGTGGAAGCAAATTAAATCGCTTTTTTTCAAATCATTGGCAGCTAATGGTCCAAAACAACATATAATTACTTATCTCTTTATGACTTTATAAATATCTGTAAAATTTATTTGCTATGGCAAATGATGATTGGGTCAAATATTTGGTCAAATAGTATTGTCAGTTGTTTAAAGAAGAGCGGTTTACATTTCAGCATGTGTCCACTTTTGGTTTATATTCTGTGGATCCTACTGGCACTTGCAGTGGAGTCTAAGGATAGAGTAAGGTTGCCCTGCATCCAGAGTTTTATTGTTCTTAAACCTATATCATTATTGAATAGGTAGCTATGCAAGGCAAGCGGAAAGTTGTTTTGGAATCAGTGCAGACTAACTGCGATCATGATTTTGTGGAATACTTCCGACCAGTGCCCAATCAAGATACACTATATACTTTTCGAGTTGTCAAAACAGCTCCATCTTTTACAATCACCATTGTCATGCGGAATGTGAAGTCCCAGCGAATAATGTACAAGATCAAAAACTTGGATGGCTGTGAGTTTTTGAAAAACCAGCTAATGAACAAAGTGCTTTCTCGGACTTACCGCGCTTTACTTGTGAACAATACATTCTTCAAGTGCCCCATAGAGCCAAAGGTTTACTTTCTAAGAAATTTGATAGAAGCCATGATAGTGCCGAGCATTCATCCCACTGGCTATTATCAACTTAGCATGCGAGTTCAAATGTCACAGAGTTCAGCACCTTTTGTTATGGAGATCCTCTGGAAGTATAAAATATTAATGGTTAAGTAATAAATTGGACAAATATGTTATTGAATTTAATAATAGTAAAAAAGTGGATTGAATTGAAAATTAATTCATGAACTTAATTATTTGGCGTTTTGAGAATACTTTGTTACTCAATATGAATATGCGAGTTTTATATGTTTTCTTTTAATCTTTGACAATTGATACGTGGTTAATGAGCCATGGCCAAAGTGCGATTAACAACGCATAGAAATTGTATCTTAATGGCTTTATAAAAAAATTTTATCTGATCCATTGTCAGATACAAATGTAGACTACTCAAAATATTCATAGGAAATTATATTCATTTCCATCTGACAATCGGCAGTTGAAAGTAAACATTTATAAAAATGTTCCCGCTTCTGCTTTGCCTACTCAGCACCTTACCCACACTTTTAGTTGAATCCAAAGATGAGGTACGTAAGCATTTTTAAAAAAGTTCTCGCTTCTTTTTTGCCTACTATCTGCTTACCCATGTGTGGCATTTTTTAATAGATCTTCGTGCGTGGCAAGGTGAAGGTATTGTTCGAATCACTGCAAACCAATTGTGATCACGATTTCGTAGAGTACTTCCACAAATCGCCCGACATAGAAACTCTCTACACTTTTCGTGTGGTAAAGCCGGTGCCTTCTTTCTCTATTAGCATAATTTTGCGTGCTGTGGCGTCTCAACGAATTATGTACAGGCTTAAAAACTTAGACGGCTGTCAGTTTATCAGTAATCCAGTAATGAATAAAGTGTTTGCTCAGGTCTTCAACGCAATAACTGTGAATAATACCATCACTGGCTGCCCCATCCTGCCTAAGGTTTACTTCCTTAAGAATATGGCTGATCCGAAAATAATGCCAACGTTTCATCCCATTGGCCGCTACCAAACAAATGTTCGCATTCGCATGTCACAGAGTCCTGGACCCTATGTAATGGAAGTTATCTGGAGGTACAACGTAATAAATGTAAAGTAATCACAAAGTCACATAATAATATTGTATTATGCTAGCTTTCGTTTGAAGAAATTATACAATTCTTTGTATAAGCAAAAATTAATAGAGAGATACACAAGAAATATATCACTTATATATGCTTGAGATCTTCATTACGCTCTTAGTGTTCCACATTTCGCAAACAAAACGTTATACGCTCTGCAAGGGGTTAAAAAGCCACTGTGTCAGGATACGAAAGACTATCGATAACCTTTACAGGGCCATAAAACCTTGATTTAACAAATAAAATATTCTTTATGCAGTTATGTTGGCCAATCAATCATAAACATTACTGGTTTGAAAGAAATTAAATGTTGTCTCGGATCAGAATGAACAACCAAGTAGATTGACATAGATTAATACCGCTACTGAGTCTTAAACCTGTACTGATTTAGCTGAGCACACCTGTTTTAATATATATAAATATGTAATAGTTAGTGTAAGCAAGGAGAACTTATATACTTTATCAATACATGGAAAAGGATTTGAAAATAATTAGTCGGGCTTCGAATGCCACAAATGCCAGCCAGTCGGGATATAAAGGGCTTTTGTCCGATTCGGCAGGACAATGAGCTTGAGGTTGAAGTTAATCTCAACTATAGTGTAATGCAGGAATGTGGTTATTATTCAGCATAATCAAATATGTTCAGAAATCTAACGGAGCGTCATTCTTATGCGAAACAATGTATCCGCAACGTTCACAGAAACCCAGCCATTTTAAATAGATAAAATTGGAGAAATATTGGTCGCCATTGTTAAAAAGATAATTAATTAGATAATACCATTAACAAATCTACATTTAATACAGTCTTTTTTTCTACAGTGCCCTGCTTTAATGGCACATCTACCGCTGGCGAATGGACACCAAGGTGCTGTCTGCAGCCTGCAACTTGAAGCTGCCAACCCAATTCTATAAATCTACATAACAATTATGATGCTGGTTAGTATTAAGAACAATAACGGCAGGGACGATAGCTATAGGTATGGCTATGACTATGTCCGTCATATTTCTAACAATGCGTTGGCATCTGGACAAAAAGAGGACTTATCTACACTCAGCGTTGCTGTTGCTGTTAGTATTAGTGATGTTGTTGTTGTTGTTGTCGTTTGGCGTAGCATTTATGCGCCTGTTTTCTCGGCGTTTTGTATGTAGGTCAACATTTGCACGCTGTGTGACTGACGTCAACATGGATGGGCCTGCACAGTCCGTTTCCGTTTCCCGTGTTTATGCCGAGCTGTTGTTTTTGTTGTAATTGTTGTTGTTGTTACTGCACCTCGTTTACCAGCGTTGCCGTTACTGTTGTTGTTGCTGTTGTAGGCTTGTCGTTCTGATTATTGCTGCTGTTATGACAAATGCCCACACTGCATGGCGAACAGCAGCTGACCAGAATGCCTATGTGGTATACTATG